AAAACAGGGCAGATGTTATGTCTAGATACAATATGTTGAACAATAGAGCTACTCAAAAGCAGCTATATGTGTTATTACCTCTTTATTACACATAATCCGACTCGACAGAGTCCCAAACAATTAAAAATTTGCTTATTAATTCTAAGTTAATGTCAAAAGTTTGAAGCTTTTCTCCAATAATATGTCTGTTTCCATTCATCAGTGTGATAAACTTACCACACATATTGTACAGTTTGGGGGGTTTTCTGCTCGACTTTCTCTTGGAGATAGTGTAGCAGCGTGTACACCAAATATCAGCTCCCCCATCGACTGCTAGCTGGCCTTTCGGCATGGGATTTTGGCTCTGCTTATTTGGTTGAATGAATTATTAATGGCTCACCGGTTTTCCACAAGTTCCATCTTTTTATTATTTTTTTTCTCTTCCCCAGCAGGCTCGATGTAGACTGCATCTCCTCATCTTCACAGCAACACATTTACCTTCCATCTCTTTCAGAGCCAAACGGAGGAGCGTTTGCCCAGGAAATATTCTGCACTCTCTGGCAACTGGATGGGAAGAAGGAGAATCTTTGACCTTGGAAAATGAAGATGTTGTTGCCATGGGAACTGTTAATCCTTCTGTCACTCAAAGAGTGCCTTGCTGGTGAGATGCCAATTGAAGTCGCCTTTTTATAACACACACCTAATATGAATACAGTGGATCTCGAGCAAGGAAGGGCTTCCCTTTTCTTAATGCGTGTTTATGTTACTATTGCACATCAAACCGAAAGATAGAAACCTCAAAAATCACTCTATTAGTTTTGCTTGTGGGTAAAATCCACCAATTTGATCCAATTTGTTCATTCAATTCAATTCAATCAGTGTTTAGACTGTTTAGTAGGAAATAGTAAAACTTTTGTGCATCACCATATCGAAATTTTGATAATAGCGCTAAGCCACAATCACAGTTCATATTTTCCTTTCAGAGCACCTCAGACTCATGATGTGAATCATTGTTAAGACCAACATTTGAAAAGAGACTCGCATCCGGTGTGGGACTCACTGTCTCTTGTCTTTTTATGCCTCGCTGTTTTATTATGCAATTTTCTTGCTTTATGTCCAGCTGCTGCCACTTCCATGAATTGTGGCAGAGCACTGTAAAATCCATACTAACTCTTTCCTCAACACTCAATTATTCTGTGCCTCTTCCCCAGCAGCACAGGTTCGCAGTGTGCTGAGATGCTCTTTGAGAAAAGCAGATGAGCGTTAGACTTTATTTTCCTAAGGCATTAAAATCTCACTAAGAGCTCTGAACATGGCAACCTGCGCAGCGTAGAGATTTAGTGGTGACAGTCACATTTGAAGAATATACTGTATACTCAACTCAAGCCAACCGTTTACAAGGCATCAAAAAATACATTTAAATTTATACAGCATATGGAGTGGGGTCTGTTGTATTGTTATTTATGCTTGCATTCCCATTGATTTAGAGCCTCGACTCAAGTCAGCATTTTCACCGAGGCGCATAATGTAGTCTGCAGTCACAGAGCAGAGAATAGAGGGTTATGCACAAGTCATTGCACGCTATACTCTACATACATGCGCTCACTACGGAGCGCACATTCACTTGCATTCCCAGGAAATCTAATTAATTAATTAAATCTAATTAATTTGTATGTGTGTGTTCATGTGTGCTGGTGGTCAGTCCAGTTGGCGTGTTCTCAGGGCAGGTCTGTTCGCGAGCACAAACTCAAACCAACCCAATCGTTTCCCCAGGTGAAATAGCCCCGCTGTTAAAGGGTCATTAATTTGTTTAATTTAAAGGACACCGCAAACAGGGTAAAAAAATGAAGCACCTCCCTCAGAGGTTGGGGAAACAAGGCCCTTACCAGAGGCAAAGACTCCCACTCTCATTAGGATGATGGTGATGATGGTGTGGGAGGGAGCGCATTTTGTCCTAGTCAAGGTTAAAGACTGTATTATAAAAGAAAAGCACCTCATCCTTTCAAGTGCACCAGAAGACAAATGGACAATTTTTTTTTCCCCCGGAGCAGCGCTGCTGTGCAGCTTGGGCATATGACACACGTGGTCGGAGGAAAGGGAGGGCGAGTGCCACAGTGTGGCCG